AACAGGGTCCTTCAGCCTTGCCCGGGGGAACGGGGACCGAGCACTTCAGCCTTGCCCGGAGGAGTGGGGACCGAGCCCTAGTGTGTCCCTCACTGCCGGAGCCGCCCGTGGCGCGGCGCCTCAGGACCCCCAGAGCCCTCGCAGGTGTCTCCTGAGGGAAAAGATCCCGACTTCGTGTCCAAACCTGGCTGTTGCTAGACAAATGCAGCAGTGAACGTGCGTAATGTGTGCGTGCCTTAACTAAAGCGGTGCCGGTCCTTGGACCCCTCTGGTTCCGTGGTACAGCACGGCAAGGGACACGTACAGGGCTCGTCACGGCCGAAGTGCTGCTCTTGAGGGTGTTTTGTGATGTATGGCTTTTTCAATGAGTTTTTGGGTTTACCTGGTGCCTTTCTGCTGCCGTCGCCTGTTTTCGTGTTAAATGATGCTTTTATTTGCAGAAAGTCGAAGCGATTAGATAAGCATTTACTGAGCTTGAGACTAATAATCGAATAAAGGGCTTGTAGCCATCGTGATTCTGGCGGCTGTTTCCCTTAAAATTATTTAATTTCTTAAAAAAACCCCCCAAACCCAAACACTTTATTTTTTTATAGAAGTTTAAGTGACTTAGTTATTTGAAGGAAAAGGCATTCACTAATATTTAAGTAGTATCTTCTAAATTGAGAAATGATGATTTAAAAAGCAAATGAAGTTTTTTAACACTTTAGGCTGGCTTTTTAACCAAATAGCATTAAGATCCTTTAGCCATTTGGGTTTTTTCATTGTGGAAGTTAATGTGCTGCTGTCACCAGTAAAATGCCTTGCAATGTTGTGTGTGTAAATAAGCTTGTAATTTTATTAGCAGTGTGATAAACAAACCATTTCCCCCACCATGTGACCATATATTTTCTTTGTGTTTATGGGGAGGATGAGAACTGAGACTCCAGTTGTTTGGAGTTTTTTTTCTTTTTAGCTGCATTTAACTTAAATGTGTTACCAGCCTCAACTCGTTTAAGTTGAAAACCCTGTCATTTACCTTTGTGGTTCTTTGCGTGTCTGAAAATCTCATTTCTAGCATGTACCCCCCCGCAAGGATCCTGTGGTGTTAAACCATCAGGTGGAGTGAGAAGTTTGCTGTCCTCTGAAGCATGCCAAGGGGCTGGGAGACACAAGAGTGAGTAGTTGTAAAATTTGCACAGAACACAATGGTGTGGTATCTTTGAATGCTACAGTTGTCAGTGCTTACACGCTGTTGCTGCTCTGCTGTTAAGAAGTTGGTCTCTGCTGCAGGGACTCACTGCCTGCCTTCCAGCTGAAGGGAACAACAGCTGTAAAAACATGTCTAACTGCATCTCCTAAAAATAGCTTTATTTTTTTACTTCATTAACCTTGATTTTAGTGATGTTTTCCTGGGGATTTTCATATGTAAAGCATCCCTCAGTTGAAAATGGACACCATGGATCTGGATTGTGGTGGGGAGAGCTCAGAAGGAGCTGAATTCTCAGATCTGGCTGTCATCTGGTCGTCTCTCTCTAAACTCTGTTAAAGGCCCAGATAACTATTATTGAACTGCCTGATTGCAGTAAAAAAGCAGCTGGTGTTGGGCTTGAAGTGGGTATTCTGATAATCAGGTGGTGTCTTCTGTACACAGTCAATTAACCTTGTCTAGTTTGGTTAAATTTCCCTCCCTGTGTGCATTTGTACAACCTCTTCCTTCACCCTTCTTTTCTGCAGGTGACTCAAAGCTGAGCAGTGAGAAGAGTGCACCCACCCCTGTAACTAAAAGGAGATTCACATCCCTTGGATCAACAGTAAGACTCTTTTGTGGTGTCTGTAGCACTGTTAAATCTCAGCTAAACCTCTGACTGGTTAAACTGTCTTCATACAATTACTGTTAACCTGCTGGAGAGAACCATGGAACACATTGCTGTGCCTGTATTCTGTAGTAACTAAGCAGGAAAAATGAAATTGCAGCATCTTTGAGAATCATGTGATGGTTACTTGGCATTACAGAGTGGTTTATCTTTGCTGTTACAATGTTTGGATTTCTTTTCCTTTGCTCCCCATGTAATTATGGTGTGGCTGCTCCTTTTTAAGAAGACTGTGTTTCTGTTCCTGCTTTCGTGGGGTGGACAGGGCAGAGTAGAAACCTGGTGGTGAAAGAAACAAGGAGGGGATGGTGCTGCATGAACAGGTTCTCAATGCCATGAGCAAGGATACAGATTTGAAGATGCATGGCTGAACAAGTTGAAAAAATGATAACCCTGACTTACTAATTTAGTGCACTACTATTGATGATTCAGGATGAAATTCTGCAAACAAACTTGAGGTTAAAAGATTAAAGTGGTTTTTTTATGAAGTTTAGGGAGTGCTAATGTCTCCAACTTCTTTAATCTTCCTGTTGCAATTGTTGTGAGCTGTTCCTTCAGAGTAATGCTTATGAGAAAGTACAGTGGTAAACCCCATCCTAACCTGGTACTTGTCTGTGCTGTCTAGGGGAGAGAAAGGTTTGCTTTTTATTTTGTGTGTATCTTTATAGTCTGTATGAAGGCACCCAGTCTTATATATAACTGTGTTGTTCAGCTGGTGGGCAGCTAGAGGTCAATTTAACTATTTCTAACACAAGTGGTTTCCAAAGCCAGGTAATGGGACTGTGAAGACTAAAAAAGATCTTACGCTTATGAGGGAGAAAAAGAAACAGAAGGCACTGGAGAAGGAGGTATGAATGTGTTGTGGGGTGCATTCCTGTCATATCTGCCACTAACCAAAATAAAAAATACAAGCTGGTAGAATTGGGCTCTTTTGCATAAGGGAGTATATGAGTAGTTTGCAAACAGGTCTGTGCAGAGCAGAGATTATCAGAGGTTATGGGATGTACAAAGCATTGGGTTTGCTAAGAACAGCTGTGCTGTCACTCTTCTCAGAAGAGAACTAAGTGAACTACGTTCAGTACCCCAAAAAGGGTCTATTTAACAACTGTTAGCTGAGATTTTTGCTTACTAATTGTTATAATTTTAATG